GAAAAATGTCATGAATATGGTGAACAGAGTTATTAGAAAATTATCAAAGTGATACAAGAATAAATTATATAATGAAAAAAAATATATTTTGAACTAGGTACCAGTTTCTTCTTTAGTCCATCTTTAAAACAGCATAATTCAGAAGACAATTTAAGAGATGTGGATAATGAATTCCAAAGTGCACTTGTCCTTTATTTAAACGTACTTTTCACAGCTTCCAGACGGCATTTTGGAATGGGCGAAGAATTTTCTAAACAAATGTTACTGTATGTTATATTCAATTTCCTCTCATATTTTCATATTCTTTTACATCTTCAGAATTATGTTGATTGTTATCATTAACTTCAGAACGAGTATTTAAATCTTCATATGTTCTATCTGTAGGGAAGAAAATCTAATAACTAATAATTTAGAATAAAATTACAATATTTGGACTTTGAAATTCTGCGACTCTCGGCTGTTTTCACCGTGAAGCGGCATCGGAACTTGTACGATGGACCGTTATGGGTATAGAATTGATAGTCATACTGAATATGTAAATTGTGATAAATTCATGATAATATGTGATAATATACCTTCTGGGATTCTATTGGAAAACGTTGCATAACTGGAAAGTAAGAATATATAAAATGAGCAAATATGTTTTTATGAGTTTTGAAAAAAACATCATTTTGATATAAGTATTTAAACTTCTGTACTCAACCAATTTGCAGTTGAAATTGTATGACAGACTAAATGATTTATAATTTTTATTTTCCCTTTAGTAGGTCAATGGAATAGAAGTTCCAGATCAGGAGAGAAAACATAACTCACCTTTCTTCTGGTAATTTCTTATTGGCTACAAAATACAATAATATAAAATTACATTGTGTTATTCAGCAGAATAAGAATTTGTTATACCAACTGACAAGACTCAATTTCAACTATCCCAAATACTGTTCAGAATTGAAATACGACACCCGATTCACAATCAATTAAATAAAAACGTCCATCAGAAGTTTAATATTGACAGAATTCTGGCAGAATGTAGGAGAAGGTTAAGATAAATTGTAATTCTGACAAGGGTAATTGAAATTGACTGCATCTCTTTTATGTTAAGATATATATATTGATTAATTCTCAAAGGAACATTTCATAGTTAATATTAATGGTAAATACAGTATAACCAATACCTGGATGATATTTTCTATATATAAATATTGTTAGTAAAACCAGCAATAAACACATAACAGATATTCCAATACCAATTCCAATACCAGTTCCTAAACATTCCTTATATAAAGTTTCTTCTACAGAAATCGGTTTTGTTCCAGGATCTGTGGAATAAATTAAATAATACAATACAATCAACTGATGAATTTACCCAATACATACAACTGATAAATTTACTCAATACAATCAACTGATGAATTTACCTAATACAATTATCTGATAAATTTACTCAATACAATCAATTGATGAATTTACCCAATACATACAACTGATAAATTTACTCAATACCTTCAACTGATGAATTTACCTAATACAATTATCTGATAAATTTACTCAATACAATCAACTGATGAATTTACCCAATACATACAACTGATAAATTTACTCAATACCTTCAACTGATTAATTTACTCAATACAATCAACTGATGAATTTTCCTAATAATACAATCAACAAATATATTTACTCAATTCTTTCAATTCATAAATTTATTTAATACACTCAACTGATACATTTACATAAAACATTCAACACTAATACATTTATTTATTATGCAAAATATTCCAATTCGCTGTCCCATCTGTACATATTAAAAACTTCTTGAAATTCAAAAATCTAGTAAGTTAGTACCGATATTCTAGACTGAATTGCATCTATTGTCTATTGCATGGTAGACCATTCAGGATAAGAAAACCAGATGTAAAATTTAATTCCATCTAATCTTGAATTTAACTACTTAGGAACTTACCTCCATCAATAATCTTTATAGTGTAACTTTTATCATCACCTATACTATTATTAACAGTTACACTGTAGTTACCAAATGATGATTGTTGTATTGTGAATGTTAAACTTGAAATATAATTATCGGTAGCTACTTGTTGAATTGTATCTTGTGTTAATACTAGTCCTGTTGATTCTTGTATCCATTTAAAACTAGGTTTAGGATAGGCTATAACATCAATAAGTAATGTTACTTCTTCTCCTAGTCTATTCATTACTTCATCTTTTAAATCACCATTAATTCTTGGTGAACCTAAAACAAAACCTTGTGGTATCAATTAAATTACTAAATATATACTTACATCTAATATTTAATGGTAAAGATTTAGTACTTGATTGACCAATACTATTGTTAGCTGTACTTATAGAGATCAGGGTGATTGAAGAATAACAAGTTACTATTCAATATAAGGCACTGGCACGGGGTTAAAGTTATGTTTACAATAATTGTGATGCTAATATGCAATGAACTAAATCAAAGAAGATCATAACGGTTATCATATAGATCTTCTTGGACCTAATAAAGAAATTCATAATACTTATAATCTACATTTACGGAAATAACATTATTGGGACAATTGTCTGTGGAAAATACAGAATCATAAAAACTCTGACTGCTTCAAATTTTCTGGAATAATGAAGAAAAGCGATTAATATCTGCAGGTATAGAAAGTAAATTGTTTTAGACTATTATATACTGTAAAGTACAAAGACAGTTAATAAAATGAAAATATTTAATTCTGTTAGATCACTCTACATCATCGGTGGGGACAAGTCGACCACCTATATCCTGTAGATTTTTATTTTTCGAATAAGCTATGACTAGTACACTGACTAAATATAGACTTACATCTGATATTTAATGGTAATTTAGTAGTTGATTGACCAATACCATTATTAGCTGTACATGTATAGATTCCTGTATCCTGACATTTAGCTTGAGTTAATGTCCACCGTTGACCAGTGTAAGTATCACTAATAGTAGAAGATGACCATGTTATAGTAGATACTGGTTTACTATCAACATTACAGTTAAATATAACATCAGAACCTTCATCAATTTCGTTATTTACAGCATCAGATATAATACTAGTTATATATGGTGGATCTGAAAGACGGATAACAGAAAACATATTCTTTCTTGAAAAACATAATTATTTATGCCTAATCCTGCTATAGTGACATTGTGTGCCAATTTACGGGATAAATTTTGAAATATTCGTTATGATAGTCTCAATGGGGTTGGAAAAGAAGTTTTCTGTCGAACAATTACAACCAAATTACCATCTAAAAACTACTCACAAAGACTGACTTTTATGGAAAACTAAAATCGGTTCCATATATTCCAATAACCCATTGAGGTGATTAGTATCTTCGATTTTAAATGTAAAGACGTTATTATTTGTATTGTTATTTAAGATGTAATTTCTTATGGCTATTTACTTATTAGTAATACCTAATTCAGTTTGTGAATACTTATTATTTGTAGGCTAAACTGAATATTTCTTTAAAAACAATGAACATTATTTTGTGCGCCCAAATCTAAATGAGAAGTATTAAACTTTTACAAGTACAGTGAAATCAATCTTTGTTGTACCAATTCAACATTTGTAAAAATCATAATTTGATAATTCTAGTATTTCTTTTCACCTGTTGACATGAAACAAACAATGCTTCACAGAAAATAATCAAGAACAATTCTGATGCTTCATGAAAACACAACCTTGGTTAGTTACTTTAAATCAAATAAGATCGTCGTGGGTCGTAAAAGTAATTTGTTCCTCATTATTCAAGTCGATCAAGTGTTATTTAGGTGCGGATAATCAACTTAAAACCAATGCCAAGAAGTTTTGCCAAGTATCATCTAGTAGATAGGATCCTTGTACATTTGAATCACAATCAAATTATACGAAGTACCATAATATATACAATCAAGTAACCTAAATTCGTGCTAACCTATTATTCGTGCATCCCCGGAAATGATTAATGATTCACATGCGCGACCTCGGGTGACTTCCGCATTTGGATGTTTAGATAAACATGGGTAATTTCTACAACTTCAAGTTTTCTTGTAGTTTCTAAAGCCACGTCAAATTTATTATTTATTTCTAACATATATAAAATGGAGGATTTTAGTTATTATCAAATATCACAATTTTTTATCGGCCGAATTTCCTTATAATCCCAAGCTCTAATCGGAATTCCAAGTGTCGTCTGCTAGAATATATTCCAGTGAACGAAGTCGGCAGAAAAATTCTATGGAACACTATGGAACACAATGTGGTTGATATTCTTATGTAGTTTCAATAAATCACTCTTACGTTTTACTTATCTTATTTTGTCTGAGACTATGTTTTTTAAATCATTGTTCTTTGAAAGAATCGTTATTATTTTGTTATAATGATAAATAATAAGAAAAGTTAAAAATGCCACCGGGCACCATACAACGTGTTTTTCTAGACTTATATAGATCAACATTGTACACGAAAATGGG